GTTGTAATGTGACAAAATATGGAAAAGTTCAAGGGGTATGAATACTTTTGCAAACCACTGTATATTAACTGTTATTCTAGAGGGATTAGATGTTCTTGTCTTTTGCTTTGTTAATGATGTAGATTTTTTGTTGTAAGAACATATTCTTGGGAGAAAAAGATCAGATATTATAAGATTTTTTTCTTCTCTCTGCTACCTTTCATTTCATTTGTGATTTTGATACACATATATTGTTTTTCTAATTTTTCTTTCTTATATTTTTCTTTTTATTGTATATAAATTGTTTGTTTTGTTTTAATGAAATGAATAAATGAATAAAGTATGAAAACTAAATTTGGTGTCCATCTTGAATTGAGTGGACTCCAAAATGTGATCAGTCATAAATGTATGAATCATTTCTGAAGACGTCATTATAATTCTCAGTGAATGAATCTGTTTTTAATATCGGTTGCTGAGGCCACTTTGATTCAGTTTGACTTCAAACATGAATCACTCACAGTTGTCCATGAAGGAGTTCTGTTAACCAAGTCTGGGTCTCTGTTACAGACACACTTACACACAGACGTGCAGAAACATCATTGGGTAGAGGCGGACAGTAATGAAGGAGCACTGTTAGTACATGTAATCTGAGATGATTTATTTAAAAGTTGTTTGGGACTTTCTAAAAAAAAAAACACTTTCAAAAGAAACAGCAGCATTACTCACAACAGTTTGTTGCTCAGCGTGTCTAAATATTTCCAGACTCGGAGCGCAGAGAGCCTGTTTACGCCACGCTCAATCACATCTCCTTTCCTCCAAACTCTCTTTAAGCTCCTCTCTTCCTGCTGATCTAATGCTTCCTGATTATGTTGGAGCTTGTGAGCAGAAAAAAAGCACGCTGCCATTCCTGAAAGCTTACTTCCTTCAAACTGATAAACGTGTCTCATGATTTGCAGTCGTTGAAATCATAAATTCGGGTTTGTCTAAAAACACAGATTACATAATCATTTAGATCACAGGATGACTGCTGCCTGTTCTCCGGTTTTTGTAAATGTTTGATGTTTGGTAATGTTTTGTCTGTAAATGTGAGTTCAGGTGTCTGTTAGTAAAATCTCTCATGAGCCACTGGATGAATTTTAACAAAATTCAAATAATTGCTGGATGTACATCTACTGAACTGGTAATGTTTTGGAGTCATCATTTTAAGACAGCTGCCACAATAAATCAACTTTAGCAAATACAGAAAGAGCTAAAACTCAGTTTTAAAAGCTTGAAAAAACTGAGCTCAGATTTGGTTTGATGGTGGATGAGAGTCATCCCAAACACATAGTCCAATATGGGTCATGCAAGATATGTATTTAAAACTCAGTCAATAATTATTAGAGTCAACTATGCTGACAAAATATTATTTGAACTGCTGGATAGATTTTTTTTACCAAAGTTCATAGAAAGTAGTTAAATATGCATCTACATAGTGAATGACTATTGGAGACAACCTAAATCAAGATGGCTGCCATGACTAGCTGACCTTAAAAAATACTTTATCCATATTTCTAATTTCCAAAATATTTTGCTCTAAAATGTTGTATTTTAGACACAGATCAGTGTCACTGAGCTTCTGTGCATTATCTGGCCAAAGATTTTTATTCTTTTCCTCCAACAGTCTGGATGAGGTAAAGTAAAATAAGCTGAAATTGGTCATTTTTTTGAATTGAGAAAGTTTTCTGGATGGGAAGCAA